CCGTCTCCATTCTACTCAAGAAGGGTATCGATCTTGAAGAGCATTTGGCAGCCACTAACTTTTGCCCTTGATCAGTAAAGTATGACAGGAGAATTGAATTTTCAGACAAATTTTTCCCATTCAAGGAATACAGCTGTTTCTTCGATAATTTCTCGACAAAAGATTTATGAAAGTATTTCGAAATCTATAAATTTTGGGCATGAGGGGGAAGGGATTTGCAAAATTTGCTACTGAAAAAACCGCAAAACAAATAGCCTTGCGTTGATCAATCCCTTTGGGATGTACTATGCACTTTACCATCTATAGAAGTGTCGACGATTGCGCGAAACCTGGTTTTGAAGAGGGGCTGTGCTCTGACGACCTCCAGTTCCATAATCCAGTTTAGGGGTTCCCAGGATAAGGGATAAATGGAGCCCCCCCTTGACTGAAGCGTTCCCGCGAACCGCTTGATTTTTTGTCCTAGAGTCACGGGGTAATTGGACACCAAGGATATTTCCACCGGACACTGGTATCAATCATTGTTTTTCAGGATCCGTTAAGCCCGTCTAGGTGGGATCTCTCACGTTTATCTTCAAGGCAAATAGTGCGATAGTTTGGGACTCTAAAATGCTCGGTCTGGTATGCTAACAGAGTGCTATATAGTGAGAAAATAACGAAAAAAAGAAGTGAAACGGTCAAAAACCTGTAAAGAAAAGCCTTCTAAGAAAGTTCTTAACGAGTCAAAAAGCAATTTCGGACGAGTTTCCCGTAGGCATCTTGCCAATAACCGCTACGGTAGGTACGGCTGCACGTATGTACTCATATATCCATGCAGCACCGCAGCCGCTTCATATCAATCCCTTCGCTTCATATTTTACTCAGCAAATGAAGCAATACGAGCATCAGGTACGGTCGTCCATTTGTGGGCGGGCGTGCACAGTGGACGTCCAGCTGGCACGTTGCAGCTTGATAGGGCGTTATAACGGTATCCTTACTGAGCGTGATAATCGCGAGACGCCTTGAAGGATTTAGCGTGCACTTGGCCTTTCAAGCGAAGGGTGGAGCGTCTGCTCCTTCATTGCCGGGCTGGTATCTTACTTTGGGGTTTTTATGTAAATACATTGTCTCCCCAAGCGAGGTGAACAATGATGTGCGCCCTGTGAAGAATATCTTTTTTCTCCCTGTGTCTCTCCTTTGTACAAAGTAAGTCCGGCTTACCGTGCAAGTCCTACCGTAATCATATTGGGTTGTCCCATAAGTAATGACATTTTTTCACTCGAAAGGATACTTGCGCCAAAGGTTGAAAATTTTGGCCAGCGGAATTCATACGCTTTTGCAAAAATTCCTTGTTCTGACCTTCTAGCTTCTTAAATAATTTGTTTGGAATTTTGAAGTCGAGTGCTCAAGACGGGAGTGCCATGACGACGAAAATTGAGTTATTTTTGATGGGCTCTTTTTTACGCTGTATATAAATGCAGAGCAGCACAGTCCCCTAGTCCTAATTAGTATATGGCCGAAAACGCACGTTAGCAGTTACCTGTCTGTCAAGAATCTTACTACAGTTTAGGCAATTCAAAATTTCGCATTTCGATCACCAGATAAGCATCGAACCGTATGTTCTATTGAGCCGACTGAGAGCTTACTGATAACACTTATGCAAAGAGATTCACGCCAAGAATGGTATTCATTAAAGGAGGATTACTTTCTTGCCTCCTTAGCATTAATTATTAAGGGCATCACCTCAGTTGATTTTAAACGGTTCGAAAGTGTAGCGGGTAGTCCTGCAGGCAGTGGCTCCCAAGAGCCCATGCGATGGCCACATTTCAAAGTCAAGCGACGGCTGTCACTCAAAGCACCTTTACTTGGTCCAATATACCACAAGGTATTAAAAGCTTCTCTGAATAAAACCGAGATGAAGTAAAGTAAGTTGTTGTCAAAAACTCACTTCTGTGTCGACCCGACACTCCACTCCAGTGAAATAAAAATTGGCAGAAATCAAGAAATACTGGAAAGCGATAGGAACTCAATAGAGCGTGGAAAATTATCTAATCTGAACAGCATAGAACACATTGGAAACGATCTCAGCATTCATATATGACATGTTGTGTGTAAGCAAAAAAATACCATTTACTTATGGGCCAACCCAATGTAACTTCAGAGTTCATTTTAGGACAAGGTAGATGGTTATATGCGAGACATGCTTTCGAGAGCACGAACGTTTTCTTTTTGTATGGCATTTCCCCACAAATCATCAAATGCCATAGGTACACGCCGCACATTGTCGAAAACCCTAGAAGCTCATATCACCTTAAGGAACCATGGGAAGCTCCTGGATACTGGTGTGTTACCTTGAGCGAGTCCATGACTCGGCCTCGAAGGCACGGTCTACGATCAGATATAGAAGCTGAAAATATAGAGCCAGAAGACTAGAGTGGTCCGCGATGAACAACTTCGTACCGATTTCGCGACAAAAAAAATTGTAAGGGGGGGCTATAGCGCAATATTAGTTCAGAGACGCCTCCTTTTCTCCAGTGACTCCGCCTCCAGACTCCGCCCTCAAGCCCGCCTTTCAGTGAAAAACGAAGCTGCAGGACGAAAAAGCATGAAAATCGTCTTTGTACGATCGTAGAGTTCTTATCGGGGAATCAGCTGTGCGAATGAGTGGATGTGTGGGAAATGGAATTCATTGGGCACGTGCAATTTGATGTCGAAATGGGGTTCTATCTGGGGCAGTTGGCATGTTTTCTTCTGTTTTTTTTCTCACTAGTTACTCAGCACCTTTCGTCTATATGCAAACCCCTAATCCACTATTTGTGATGGCGAATGATCGCGGGCTTGTAGCGTCCTGGTCGAGGTAAATCAGATGATATGGGATGTACCTTATTTGGAGTATAGGGCTCCTTCATTTGTGAAGCTACAGATATGGACATGATAATGCGCGCGAAAAATCCATAGGGATAGCGGGAGCCATTGTTGTCTCTTTTGCAAACCGCTACCTTCTGATAAGTTTTTTTTCTGTTCAACATTACCGTGACTGATTAACACCGTGAAACATTGTATTGATGATAGATGCAACTACCAGTAGTTCAAGGCTAAGAAACAAACTCACCATCAAACCTGTTCATAAAACTATCGCTTATTGGAATACATGAGACAAGGAGCTCAGTCTTTTCGCGTGACTTACATTCAAGGATAATCCAAAGGCAGAGCCCAATGACCCAAGTTGTACAAAGGGGTAGGTAATGTGGGCAGCAACGAACAACCCTATAAGTTTCACGTCAGAAAGTGGTAAGGTAGCGGCGGTAAGGCACAAGGTTGCTCAAGTGACTCCGCCCACAGTGATAGATGTCTTATCTGCTGTCTTGCTCGTTTGCATGCTCTCTCGCTGCTTTCTCTGGCCTCTCGCCCAAATCGCCATTGATTCCTTATCTCTTGCTTTGCACAAGTAGGGCCTCATTTGCAGCGTTTTCGACGATTTCCTCTCCTTTTTTCTTCACTGACAAGTCGAGTAGCACGTATACTTTTCTTTTCCAATCCCGTTCCCTACTAACTGTTCGGTAGTTCATCGCGAAGTCTACCTTATTTCGTGTACGTGTGTGTGAAATAGGATAGTGATAAAAGGCCACTAAAGGTCGTCACGACAGGATACCTTCCCAGGAAACAAGTAAGACTCTTTCGCGCAGTTGGCGACGGGGGGGTCATGGTTGGCACTTCCCACTGGTTCACTATTCCGTTAACAAGCCCACCCTGGTGAAACCTGTGGACTCTGTGAAACTGGAGCAAGCTCGTCAAGCCATCATGGTAAAGCCTGTCAATTCGCAAGGAGGCTGTCTAGGTGGGGACACGTCGATGGTACGTAGCCAAAGTGCAAAATCCGTCGCCGAACTGTTGTGTCCCCCGTCCGCCGAACGTCGTCGAATCTTTCTTTCAAACTTGTATAGCGCGAAAAAGATGCTGATATGGGCACTGACAGTCTGGACTAAAAGCCCACTGATCAACTTATTAGCCGTAATTCTAGATTTTAACAAACTTATTTCCTCTTTTTGAAATTTTTAAATAAAATTTAAATTTCAAATGGTCGGAGTAAGCCCGGTAGTTTCTCAGCAGGTGCTGAAACTCCATTTTATGAACCATAATGTCAATATTGCCTGGCCATCCGCGCTACAGGCATCAGAAACAGTATGTGCTCTGAAAATTGTCCCGAAGGTCCGCTTGGCCACCGCACGTGAATATTACTCTATTTTCTGCTGTATAAGGCGCACCCTTATATAGGACGCAAATTCTCTTCAATTGCCGCGAAGGTTTCTTCCTCTCTTTACTTTTGCTTGAGTTTCGTTGTTCGTATTGTTCTTATACACATTAAGGATCTAATTCAATAAGTGGTCTTTAAAAAGCTAATAGAACATTAAATGTCAAAAAAGACGGGAATATTGCTGTATCTACCAACATTCGCGCGCGTTGCCGCGTGCGACTTTGCGAAATGCGCCTTACATCCTAAAAGGTGAGGCATATCTGCTTGGCAACGTCTAAAGCGCTACAGCGCTACAAGCTCCGGCGCCGAAACTTTTCTGTGACACCGGCCTGTGATTTTTTGTCGCCGGAACGTTTTCATCCATTGAAAGAGGTGCTCCTACTCAAGGGTTCAGAATACACCCTAGGCCGAAGTTCTGGTCAAATTATACCTTAGGAAAAACTTTATCAAAATGCCCACTGAATTTCGGGGCATTGGTGAAGCAAAGGGTAGTGCCCAATTTTCTTCATCTATTTTCTTCAACTTTAGACTAGAACCTAAAGTGCTGCCGTAAAGTTCAATCTGAATTCCATTAAGATTGGTTACACCACGACTGCGCGGTGAAAAAGTCGAAAGTGGTTTGGCTACGAGAGCGAGCCCATGCTGGCGACCGCGACGCTTGAGGACTCAAACTGCCGATGGTAAGCAGTAGATGCTGTTCAAAATAAACTTCTCCCAAAAAATTCTAAGTTTAGGTTTGTGGCTTTGTTTGATTATTCGCACCATATGTCACCCAATGCGAATGCGGAAGCGGATGAGTTGTCGTTCCGAAAACATCAGCTGATAAAGGTACAGGTTTCCCTGAGGGAATCCTTTCATCTTATCATCGAAATCTTCAAACCGTGATGTTTCAGGTGTATGGCGAAGTGGACCCTGACGGCTTTTATCATGGGCAAATTGGCAATCGAGTTGGGCTTGTACCATCTAACATGGTGATTGAAATCGCCAAAGACGATTTGTTGCCGAGGAGGACACGAACAGATGCCGTGCCGTCAGGAGCAGAGCCGTCGCTACGACGAATGCGATGGGGTTCACTAAAATCCCGGAGTTACGATCACGCAGGCGATCGGAGAGCTCACGATAGGCCTCCCGCAACGTCACACTTCGCATCTTCACTCGATCGTCGGGAACCAGAAAGGCGAGAAGTCTCAGCGACAAGGGGTGAACGTTACCGCAGAACCAACGGGCGCGACTACGAATACCGACGGGACTACGACGATTGGTACCGGGAAGGACGAGAACCTAGGGAGCATCGAGAGATGCGCGAACCGCGTGACATACGTGACCCCAGAGCTGTGCGAGACGACTATCATCGTGATTACCGGGACGAGGAGGAATATCGAGAAAAGTACCGAGATCGAGGCTACGAACGCGAGCGGGAACGAGAGCGTGAACGAGATTATGAGCGGCGAGAGGATAGGCGGGATGAACGACGAGAAGTAGAGCGACGTGAAGTAGAACGGCGGGAAGCTGAACGACGAGAATTGGAGCGTCGAGAAGTTGAACGACGCGAGGAACGACGAGACTATGAACGCCGGCATGATTATCCACGAGAAGAGTCCTACCGACGAGACCGCCGTGATGAAGGCTACCGAGAAGATCGGCACTACGACCCTTATGCACAGCGGTATGACCCGGGTGCTGCTGGTCCATCAGGTACCGTACAGCCGATGACTGCTCCGCAGCCATCTGCTCAAGGTCCGAGCCATGGTGGTCAGCCACAAATGGCTCAACTGGCTCATCAGCTGGGTCAAATGCAGATGGTGACATCAGCAATGCAACCAGGGGCTGCGCAGCAAATGCCTCAGGTGCTACCTGGTCTTTCAACCGGAATGCAACCTGGGATGATGGATGCGGGGTAGGTTCTGATCTAATCATTCTTCATTCATATCAAGTATCAACTAGTCTTTCATTATACAGTATAAACGGCGTGCCGACTAAGAAAATGGTAGCCAAATTTGACTACGATTCTCGTCAACTGAGTCCAAATGTGGACGCTGAGCAGGTAATTTCCATGGGTATACGACAAGAGCTTCGCAATTCGTCGCGCGCGACGTCGCGCCAACAAACCGCGATGGTTCCAGGTCGTAGATGGCGATAACAGGCATTGTAGAACCGAAGGATTTCACGTGGACTAGGAAACTAGAGTCATAAATGTCTCCAGTATCCTAGTCCACGTGAAATCCGGTGCTTCAATCGGCAGGCTAATACGAGTTAAGAAAATGCCGCGCCCATCGCCGCGCGCGGCGAAAATTACGATTCTCTTGTCCTTCCCGATGTCTCTGTATATGTTGGATCTTGGTATTGTTTACATTTGTAGGTAGAGCTATCTTTCCGGCAAGGAGACATCATCACCGTCTATGGGGAGATGGATGACGACGGTTTCTACATGGGAGAGTTGAACGGACTGCGTGGCCTGGTGCCATCGAATTTCTTACAGGTAAGCGTATCCAGGCACATTTGCCATCCACTAGTTGGCCCATATAATTCTCAGCTGAAATATGTAGTCGATTTTGAGAAATGTTTTGGCACTAAAAATTATGCAGTCTATTCCGGCGTTAAGGAGGGGGGCGTTTGAACCATCAAAAGGTTAGAATTAACGAACGTTATGGTTCTTTGGCTCCGTTTTTTCCATGAACACAGTGTCCTCTCCGAGCTGACAGCTGTTGATCGAGGATCATCTTTCATTGGGAATTTCGGATAGAGCTCTATAGACCCCCGGCTCTTTTTTCGCGAGGAGCTTGCTACCATTCATCCCTTCCTGTTTCCTCCTCCATGGAGCTGTCGAGCGAGGGGAGGTGGAGGGGGGGGGTGTATAGCACATGAAAATAGGAAAAAGTTAAAAGTCAGCAACCTCTCGGAAGGGAGATGCGACCTCATTCCCCTCCCGCAAGCGAGCGAATACGTCTCCTCCTTCACAACATCCCTGAAATATCAGCTACCAAAAAAGTTCTTCTCAACTCGAACAGGACCCCCTCCCTCCCTCTCCTAGCGACCAAATACGACCCCGTCCATGTTCTGGGATCCCCAACAACGATGTGCCCTGCTGTTGATTGCCGCCGTGTGCACAATTGCGTCCGTGGACACTTCCCCTTCAGCGCCGAGATATGAGCTGCATTTCTGGGCTATAAAGGGTGTATAAAGGGGCTAACATAAGAGGCATTTGTTGAGTGCACCACTGATGATTTCAGTCCTCACCTCTGACGACACTTGCTCCATCGCAGCCTACGGAGCCGATGCGTAAAGGGGTTGCATTCTCGGATGCACAAGCAGTTGCAGCCAAGAAACCTGTGCCGACTCGCCAGGTAAGCCAACACTTCTAGCTCCACAGCTATGGAGGTAATCCGGAGAAAATCTTTGCAGATATCGCAAACGTCGACAGTCACTCCAACGAGTTCGAAGCCGGTGTCGAAGAAGTCAACTGCGAGTGCGCCTGGTAGCAAACCTTTGGCCAAGAAAGCTAGTGATGTTGGCAAGGCTTCAGCCCAGAATGTTCGGAAAACGAGTACAGCCGTAAAGAAGGGTGACTCGTCAGGCAAGGTGAGGAACGCCTGGAGGCGGCCACTTCCTAAAAATCTCGCTTACTGTTTATGCGATCCTGTTTCAGAAAAAATCCTAATCCCGTGTGCCAATGATGCTTTCATCTTTCCTGAAAGGACTCAGCAATCAGTTGTGAAATTATATTTTTATGTGCAATGTATTCTCTTGACGATGACGATGATCTCGCTCACCGTTACTTCCTGTTCTTCACTGCGCCATACGTTGCGATGTTGTTTATGTACCGAAGAGTATTTAATAAAGATTTATCAATTTATCAAACAACTTTATAAGCACAAGCATTGTAGATCTGTGTGGAGGTGATCTCATATAGAGAAGTTCAGGTAAGTTCTCGATCTGTGCAGGTAGTCCACAGCGCGTCCAGTACCTGCATCCTATCTTCCCCTTCCTCGCCTGCCCTTGGTGCACATATTCTTTGGATTCCTTGGATCACAGAATATTTTCAGTCAGTTTTGCCCAA